TGATTAAATAAAAAAGTTTTTAAACTACACAAGGTTCATTTTCTCCTCTGATAGTAATCATATTAAACATGTCAAGAAAGAAAGAGTATAAAGAAAATAGTAAATGTGTGTCTAATTAAACTCTTCCTGTGAGCCTTATATCATCCTTTAAAATATGTTTGGTGTTACAAACTTGAAGAAGCACGGAAAAGATCATCAGACATTAATCTAATCAGTTTTCAGCCTTCATTCATATTGAAAAGTTGAAATCTTCCCTGCTAGACCCAAGTGCAGCGTTTAACACCGTCGGCCAGAACATTTTATTACAGCTATTATTAAATGGAGAGTCCTCTTCACACACTGAGGTTAATTATGAAGCTCCACAGGCTTCTGTGCAAAGACCAGATTTGTTTACATTATACGTGCTTTAGAAGACATAGCATACATTTTCACTGCTATGCATAAGATACCCGCTTTTATTGGTTAAACTGCCGGGATGTCTTAGACACATAATGAGCTTTAATTTTCTGCTTCTAAGTTCAGATAGAACTGAGGTTATTGTAACGGGGCGTAAAAATCTTAGAAACACTGTGGCTAACACGATCCTTACTCTGGATGGCATCGCCTTGAGCCGCCTGTTGTAGTGATTTGGCACATTATAAGTAAAATTGAAACATACAATCCCATAGCACAACATCAACATTTATTTATATACAAAAATAAAAATGCTTTTTCAGAAAAGAATTGTAACTTCACAATTCATCACCGATTATGTGGGTACATTTTTTTTTTTTTTTTAAATGCACTATATGTAGAATACATTGTTTGGTAAAATGCTGGTTACACGTTCTAAGAATGAAAAAATCAGTCTTTCAGAGAAAAAATTAGCAGCCTCCTTTGTAAAACTCTGCGACCAACCGTAGCTGTCTGATTTTCACCATGTCCAACCCTACCAGATTGTGGTATGCCTCGGCTATGGCGTCAAAGACTTTCCTTTCCGATTTCAGTTCGCGCAAGAGAGTTTCCGCCACCATGCAGACTTTGACGTCGTCCATTTTGATGTGGCGAGCAATCAGCAGCCGTTGAATGGATGGAATGAAACGAGGGGTGAGGAGTCTTTTTCTGATGCTGTAATAATTTTCAGCGTAAAAGTCATCCTCCAACACTCGCAAACACTCATGCTGTTTCTGGAGGGGTTGATCGGCCATACAATCGTTGCATGTGTCAGTGAGGTACTTGTTGATTACGAGGTTGACAAGATGATACACCGCGGTTTTCACGGTATCGATGAACAAAGAAGATGCCCAACCGTCAAGCTCGTCCTCTTGCTGCTGCTTTTCCAAGGGGCGATAGTAACCGGACGTGTCAGGTAATATTGTCCCCTCGTCCGCAGAACTTTCCTCCTCCTCCGCAGGGTGGCGCAGGGCTGTAGAGGCCATACTTCTCTCTGTTTTTGAGCTAAAAAAAAAAAGGTTTGAAGGAATGAGACGGCGGTCTTCTTTTTAAATAACAGAAGAGGGCGTGGTCTGGAAGTGGGTTGATCTTAAAGGGTGCGGGTAGGTGTGGCAGCTATTTTCAAAAACCGAAGAGTCGGCCACTGCGTCTCTAGCAGCTGTAACTTTGGAAAAGAACGGTAATTCCCATCTGTTGGGCTTGAAATTCTCCATGAAAATGGCATCTTCCAGCCCTTCTGCTCAATCAACCATCAGAGTGACAGAACTTGGTACATATTTGGTACTTGGTACCAGGGATACTGAGCAATCTTTAGTCTCTGAAGATCCAGCCACGAACCCTACATTTGAAGATTGGAGTGAAGTGTCAGAGTGGAGCACACCCCCCTCACCACCACAGCTGTGGACGATGGACATTGACAACGAGGAAGATTTTTTGTATTTCGGCGACTCTCCCGACATTGATGAGGTAGACTGGACATGGCCACCCTTCCAAGGCCCTGAGAGATTACCGGAACAGCTATGGGATAATGATGAGGACTTACCCTATGTAACCACATAATCGGTGATGAATTGTGAAGTTACAATTCTTTTCTGAAAAAGCATTTTTATTTTTGTATATAAATAAATGTTGATGTTGTGCTATGGGATTGTATGTTTCAATTTTACTTATAATGTGCCAAATCACTACAACAGGCGGCTCAAGGCGATGCCATCCAGAGTAAGGATCGTGTTAGCCACAGTGTTTCTAAGATTTTTACGCCCCGTTACAATAACCTCAGTTCTATCTGAACTTAGAAGCAGAAAATTAAAGCTCATTATGTGTCTAAGACATCCCGGCAGTTTAACCAATAAAAGCGGGTATCTTATGCATAGCAGTGAAAATGTATGCTATGTCTTCTAAAGCACGTATAATGTAAACAAATCTGGTCTTTGCACAGAAGCCTGTGGAGCTTCATAATTAACCTCAGTGTGTGAAGAGGACTCTCCATTTAATAATAGCTGTAATAAAATGTTCTGGCCGACGGTGTTAAACGCTGCACTTGGGTCTAGCAGGGAAGATTTCAACTTTTCAATATGAATGAAGGCTGAAAACTGATTAGATTAATGTCTGATGATCTTTTCCGTGCTTCTTCAAGTTTGTAACACCAAACATATTTTAAAGGATGATATAAGGCTCACAGGAAGAGTTTAATTAGACACACATTTACTATTTTCTTTATACTCTTTCTTTCTTGACATGTTTAATATGATTACTATCAGAGGAGAAAATGAACCTTGTGTAGTTTAAAAACTTTTTTATTTAATCAAACTGTAATGTTGTTGAACTCTGACGGACGTGTCTTTTAATCTTGTCGACAAATCCTTAATCATCTAAATCAGCCATTTATCATCTTGTAAAATGTTCCCTCTGCTTCTGTTGCACATCTCCCCCCGACACTCTCTGCTTCACCAGCCCTGTGCAGCTGGTTCAACCCCTGCCTGCCTCCTTAAACTGGGGTGTTTAAATCTCTTTACCTCTGTTGTGAACTTCACACAAAGTTTGTGGTAACAAAATCAAACTGACGAGGATCTCGTTTGAAAAACACACACACACTCACGAGACAAAATAAAAACAGACTGCTCAAAGCAAAAGCAGAGCCCTCACAGCTGGTAGTACAAACACAGCGACAACATGCGTATTAGATACCCTCAGTGCCAAAAGCATGAATATGAAAAAATGTGATCACCAAGAATATCCTAAAAATGGCATTGAGGTGCGTGTTACAGTAAAGAAAAAAAAAAAAAAAGTAGCCAAATTTTCATCGGAAAATGTTGAATTTTAGTAAAAACAATGCTCTGTAGTTTGATACTGTCGTTACAGACAAAGCAGATGTTTAAAGCCTTTGGACGCACATTTGAAACGCACTCATTCTCCTTATCAGCTGGAAACATTAAAGCCGTAAAATGACTTTTTCAAACGGATAAAAACTATTGAACAGCAGCAATGTTGAGCCTGTTCCAAAATTTGAATGTACATGTGTTGAAGGTGCGGGTCTTGTTGAATTATTAAACATACTTTCTTTAATTTTTCGAGCCACAAAAACAACAACTTTTAATTTCTTCTGCTTGAGTCTCGGCCTCGGGTAGCTCTACTTATCATTGCTCAGTCAGTTGTCTGTTTGCGCTACTTTTTCAAGGAGCAGCGGATTATTGGTAAGGGTGACTTTATGTGTTTAGCTACTTAAGTGGAAGTACTGTGGATAGTTTTACCTTACATACATAGATCTACCAGTACAGCTTCTGAGGTAACTGTTTACAAAATGTTATAATCTATCCACAAGTTCTTTGCAATTTTACATTGATAAACATTATCCTTAACACATTTGACCCGCATAAAGTGCTATGGCCATCACACTGTCATTTAGAATTGTTTAAATAACTCGTGTCTTAAGTCCTTCCATCAAACAGAAAATAAAAAAATAAATAAAATAAAAAAAATAAAAAAGTCGCATGGATCACTTTATTTTTCTAACATTATGTGATATAAAGTCGTTCATAACAAACTGAAAGGCTGGGAGTTTAAAATGCAAACCGATGGAAGCAGCAGTAGAAGACTATAATGTCACAGAGCACACGGTGTCTATTATTGTGTAGACAATTATAAATAAGAGCTTAATAAAAGATGCTTAATTTCTTAAGAAATAAACAGGTGGAGGGATCTTTATCAAAAGTGGATGTTGCATCTGTGGCTAAACCCCTGTACCCAAAAACTTTAAAAATCTACTGTGTGTGAGGCTGTGTAAGTAAAGCTTGCCCTTCACACCCGCGTGTAACAAACCATTTGTTGGGGGTTGTGGATTTGACACCTCAGCATTGTGAAAGTGGGGAAACATGTTTCTGGCTGTGCATAAGATTTCTGCTTACAACTTAGAATCTCAGTTCTAAATGAAATTCAGATGTTTTTTAAGTATGGCTAATGTATTAATTGACTTCTAAGGCACGCACACACACACGCACACACACGCACACGAACAACAACACCAACACAGAGAAGAAGAAGAGGGGGTCGGCAGACTATGAATAAATCTACATACTCTGATATATGGTATGTGTTTTATAAAAACCTACTCTACACCAGCTGAGGAAGTAATTAAACACAATGTTTTGCCAAGTTTCCCCTCTGGGAAAAAGTCTGTCTTCATTTATTCAGTTATTGTACTAATGTATGCACATTTCTATGCTATTAAAGGTACTGAAAAGCTTTACTTACACAATACTTTGGGTACTGAGTTGACTTACAACAAAGATTATGCTGAAATGCTGAAAAAAAAAATAATATATTATAAACTATATAAATAAAAAGTACTTTTAATAAATTAAATTATTTTTTCACATGAAAACAATATTTATATTAATAAATTCTCGTTTAACAGAAATCTCTGATAATGTTTGTGGTGTCAGCTTTTTCCTTTTCAAACTGTGCGAGAGAAGAAGTATCTCATGACATTCACGCCTAATGTGTTCAGCATATTCTGCACAGTCTGCATCGTCACTGGTACCTGTTTAAGGCTGACGGGGGGTTGAACAGCAGGCTCTGGACACGGGCCCCAGTGGGGAACCTGAGCCCTGATGATGGGGAGGGTGAGTGCAAACACCAGAGCCAAAGGTAGCTTCATGGTAAAGATGTGGCTTTATTACCTAAAGAGAGTATGAAAGAAAAGCAGGTAAGGTAACACAAATCAAAAGAAACATGGCCAACGCAAACAAGATTACTGCTACATCAACTCAGGCAACATTTTTCTTGGCAGAAATAATCTAATATTAACTAATTTATAGTTTAATCCTTCGCATGTATCTCCACAGATTTCTCTTACCTCTGTGTTCCAGTGGTTCAGATATGTGCTCTGTCTTTAGAGATAGAGAGACAAGGCCGTGTGACCGATGGTGACATGGAACTGAATCTGAGCCCCAAAGAGAGAATAAGAGTTATGCTTTTGCACCATATTGTGTTTTCACCGTTCTTTCATAGCAAGAAGAACGATTTTCAGTCAAATGATCCCTACAATCAGTATATTTAATTTCAAAATCAGCCACCCTGGAAATCAACCTACCATCTGGATAATTGTCAGATACTTCTTCCACCACAGGTACTTTTGGATCTTAGGTCCACAGGAGGCAAGACCGTAATACAGGTACATCAGGACATGGATCATCGCATTCATATGTGCACCAAAGAATGCTGCAGTAGAAGAAACAATAAGTTTTTAATTTTGTTCTGCTTACTATAGTTAAAAAAAAATCTTAAACTGAGTTGCTCTGAACTCCTGCTGTCTGTATCCAATAAAAAGACAATAGTTGAGGGGGGTGGGAGATACAAACAAGTGTAGGTCCAGGGGCCCATGAATCCAGATTAAACTATCCAAGCTACATATGACGATACTATGCTTGTGGGTTTCAGTGAAATTTGTCATCTAGCTTCCTCATCAGTGTTCAGACTCAGTTTACTCTCAGTCACAATCATCTACTTGCAAATATACATATAGCTGCACCTGTGTTTACTAATTAGCAAGTGATAGCGTGTTATCATGCTAAATACATACTGTGAACATGATAAACATTGTACCCAATAGTAAACTTCAGCGATTAAATGCTATTACTCTCAACATGTTGCCTTGTTGGCATTAGCACTTAGCTCAAAGTGCTCCTCTGCCTGTGGTATACCTTTACAGAGTTGCTAGCATGGCTGTTAATATGCAGATGCATATTATTAAAAAAAAAAAAAAAATAAGCTCAACAAACAACAATAATGAATACATTAACCAGTAGTGAATAAAAGGTTTATAGACAAGTAGCTCCACATGTTTGGTTTAGCTTCCTGAAGCATCCATCAAGGCATTTGTGTCTCTTCCCAGCCCTCACCCAGTATAAACCACAAAACTACAGAGCCGGTGAAGGCTTTATCAACAGCAATGCTGATAAATTCATATATATATCATATAGCTGATGTCTGCTGTGTTGTAAGCTACTCACACTGTCCTCCTGCCACCCACTTGATGCCAATCCACCAGAGCGTGAACATGGAGCAATGATGGTAGACGTGCAGGAAGGTGACCTGGTTAAATTTTTTCCTCAGGATGAAAAACACAGTGTCCAGATACTCAATGCCTTTGGAGATGAAATACCTCCACAGAGCTCCTGCCACCTGACTCCCGCAGAAATAAAGAAGGGGAAGAAAAAGACTGTTAACATATGAACATATATGATCAAGAGCTACATGTGTATGAACTCTGATTTTGGAAATCCTAACCTCGACCCGAGACTGACTCACTTGTGGTTTCTGTTTCAAACTACGTCATAGAGCAACAGGAAGGAAGGTGAAACTGAACACCATTCAACTCCGGCTTGTACTTTTTTCTGATAACAGGCCCGTGCTCTAAATGTATGGATGCCTCTCATGTTTCTAAAAGCTCTCTGAGTGACGTGTCCCTGGCAGGCTGACTGTAATTTTCTGAACCATGGGTACAGTGGAGAATTATTAACAGGTAGGGATCTGGTTCCAAGGAAACTAATTATTGTAGACACAAAAGTCTTAAGATAGTAAGTTACATAAACAGCTGAAGTCCCACTACTATATTCAGAGTTTATCTATGCAAGCGTGTGTGTGTGTGTGTGTGTGTGTGTGTGTGTGTGTGTGTGTGTGTGTGTGTGTGTGTGTGTGTGCAGTCGGGAGAGTTGGGGTATCCAATTTCCTTTTTTTTGAATGCCTTCTTGTGAACGCTGTCTGTTTTCCACATTCTGCAACGGTAAAATACGTCTTAGAGGCGGATATTTGTTTTACCTTATGGGCAACAGTTGTCTGGCTTTGTTCTTGCTGTTGACAAAACCCGCCTCATGGTTGACTCTGAGAAAAAAACTCTTTCCCACAGAGGGGAATAAACTTATTCGAATATGAGCTTTTTTTCCTCGCTAAGACTAGTTTTATGGGGAGATGTAAAAAACCGGGTTACAAGCAATGATAATATCGGATGTTGACTCCTCAGCGTCATCATTTTCTATCTATTGAGAAAACTTATTGTAAAAAGTAATGAAGAAAAAAACTCCTCCTTGCCCCGCGGGGTGTGTGTGTGTGTGTGTGTGTGTGTGTGTGTGTGTGTGTGTGTGTGTGTGTGTGTGTGTGTGTGTGTGAAACAAGATCGCCTGTCGCTGGTTTGTTTTTTCAGTCCCTCAAAAGGAAAAGTAGTATTCACTAAGGGATAGTTATCCGTTTTTTTACACATAGGCAGCCTGTAGGTTACAAGCGGATAGAAAGTTCTTCTTTTCATCACAAGCTATGGTGTATCTTAAAGGTTTTTTTTTGTTTGTTTTTTTTTACTGCGTCTGTATTATAGGAAAATAAAATTACTATTGAAATCTCTACAGGAAGTCACTCTTTATTTCCATTACAAACGCCGGTGCAGCTTAAGAAAGTAAAATTACATCCGCTCTGTCTCTCTATACATCACAGAATCAGCTGCTGCATCACCGCTGTGCTTAGGGAACATGACGCAACAGGTCTGAAAATGACTAGACACTTCCGGAGTATTTCCGGTAGGGTCATAAGGTCCGGATCGAGATTGAATATGTCATATTCAAAACCTTCTTCTTTGGGAGAGCAGATCTCATCGGACACAGGAACGCTGCGGGGCTGCAGAAGGAAATCCATCTTGTGTCTGTGCCTTAGAAATTGTGACGGACTCCTCTCTCTGCTTTTTTATTCCCCTCCAACAGATGGCGCGCTTCCGGAGGTTTCCCCCTCCCTCTAAAAAACGTTTTTTCCCAACAACAGATGACGCGCTTCCGGAGGTTTCCCCCCTCCCTCTAAAAACTTTTTTTTTCCCCAACAACAGATGACGCGCTTCCGGGTTCACCCCTCCTTTTTCAGGATGCAATTCGACACGGTTAGCAACAGATGGCGCGCTTCCGGGGTTCGCCCCCCTTTCTCGGGATATAATTCGTCACGCGGGGGGTTCGCCCCCCCTTCTCCGGATACGATTCGTCACGCGGGGGGTTTCCCACGGAGGGGAGGGGCGGGAGGTCAAAAGGTCGTGATTAGGGCCATCAATCACTTCGGATCAAATTTTGTCATAAGCTGTATGGGATTAACTCTCTGTGGATGGGTGGATGTGGGTCAGCATTCCTCCTGTAGTCCACGATGAGCTCCTTGGTCTTCTCGGTGTTAAGCAGCAGGTTGTTTGTGTCGAACCACTCAGCCAGACGATCCACCTCCTCCCTGTAGGCGGCCTCATCGTTGTCACTGATGAGGCCAATCACCGTGGTGTCATCTGCAAACTTAATGATGGTGTTGGAACCATCAGCAGGTCTGCAGTCGTGGGTGAAGAGGGAGTAGAGGAAAGGGCTCATCACACAGCCTTGTGGTAAACCGGTGTTCATTTTGATGGTAGATGAGCAGTGGTTATCTAAAAGAGGTTAAAGTTAACCTCTTTTACTTTAGCTTCCATGGTCTCAAATTCTATAAGAATATAATTTCTTTTAACTGGATTAGGACAATTTTCATTTATCAAAATATTCCTGATTACCTTATTTACAAACCTGCTGTCACCAGATTAAACTCCAGCTATTCAGAGCTGTCTCAGTCCAGGAGAGAACGAGGGATCAGAATCTCGAGTCGTGCACACTATTGTTTCATTTAGTGTGTATCCATGAGATTCGTACAGTAGGTCCAAGTTGTACCTTGAAAACAGGAACGTCGTCTTTAATAACTTTAATAGCAGACTTGTACAAAGTGAGGCTTTGTGCTCACATTTGCTGCAAACACTCGTTTTGATTCTGTCACCCTGTTTTGATAAAGAATTCAGTTAAAATCAGGCAACAACAGGACTTTCTTTTATAATGTGTTCTTGTGAATTGATTGTGTATCGCATACATTTGATTTGGGTTGCAGTTCTTATTTCTGCAAGACAACAGTCATCTGCTGGCCAAAAAAGTTTTCCAAATACCTCCACGTGATCAAGCCTGGATTTAGAAAAGAACAGCAAAAAAAATCTGCACCTCCTGCTTCAGATGGAATTTTTGTTTGTGTGTTCAGAGGCTGCGGCAGGAGGCGAGACCTTGGCTCAGCTGGAGAGCCTGACCAGGAGGAGTCGAACATTACCCTGGCTCTTCCAGGGCACCCTGCAGGCTCGGCTGCTGGCATTGTCGAGGGAGTGCAGCCGCTGCTGGGATGATGTGAACGCCAAACTGGAGTCCATCACAGGTCGACTGCAGGTATGTGAGTCAGACCTTCTGAGGAGTGTTTCACTTTTCTCTCTTCTTTTCATTGACTCTTTTCTCTCTCTCTCAACTCATTGTCTCAAAGTGGGAGGGATTTGAAGCACAAAGAGAGGAGCTTGTCCTTTGGTTGGCTGATATGCATGACCACCTGAGTGAGGTTGACCAGCTGACAGGAAACACCTGTGAAAAACTGAGACAACTGCAGGTGTGGGGTTGTTTTGATATGACATATGTTTGATATGATACATACGTCAGAGATATCCTAAACTGGACTAACAAAGGACCATGAGTCCAACATGAAACTTACCTTACATAAGGTGAGGCTGAAGTTCATTGATAATTTTAATCAAAAACTTGTTGTTGAAATATTTTTACTAAACATGCAAACATCTGCTGATGGAAATGTGTTGATTTATTGGTCTGTTATGAAGCTATTGCTATTTCTAAAGTGTTTTTATCACTTTCTGATGTTTTATTAATTAAAAATTACATGTATTAATTGTTGTGTTATCTTAGTATAGTTTTTATATGTATTTATTTATAGTCTAGTAAACATATATTTAATTATTACTGTTTAAATGACTAATATGTGACATGTATTAGTAGTGATGTTGTGCTGAGGTTTAAAATGCCTTTTTTGGTATACTATGAAATGGCAATAAACCACTAATATATGTCTATGTGCTCATATTTATTTTACCCTACTCAAATTTAATTTATCATACATTCTATTTTGAAAGATTTAAAATGGTTCATTAAAGAATTACTCAAAAACGGTTCCTTAAAATGTTTTTAAAAGAACCGTTTTAAAAAAAAAAGGTTCTTTGAAAAACCTTTAAATTGATGGAGTTACAAACTAAATCAGGTGATCTTTACCTTGAGAAAGCCCAGGGTGCCATTATAAGATCGAGAGCAAAATGGTTTGAGGCAGGTGAAAAAAAACTCATCATATTTTAGTAAGCTGGAAAAATGTAGACAGCAGAGAAATTTAATCACAAGCTTGTTGATAAATTGGACTGAATGTTAAGATTTCAGAGGGAATAAAAGGGAAGTCTTCACTTTCTATTCCGAGCTGTACTCCTCAGAATATTCAGCAGCTGATGCTGATAGTTTCTTTAATAAGATTCATAAGCTTATCCCATGTATTGACAAACCTTTTAAAGATCTGTGTGATTCAGAGCTTAAAATTGAGGAACTGGATTTAGTGGTCATGAAAATAGCATTAAAAAAAGTCCCCAGGGACAGATGGACTCACTGCCAATTTTTATCAATTCTTCTGGAAGGACCTAAGAACCTTATTATTTGATGCATTAAAAGAATCTATAGAGAAGAAAGAACTGATGCCAAGCATGAAACAAGGGTTGATTACCCTGGTCCCTAAATCGGGTAAGGACAAAAGAATTTTAGACAATTTAAGACCCATCACCTTACTAAACACTGACTATAAGATCCTGTCTGGAGCTGTATCTGAGAGGCTAAAGAAAGGCATCTCAAACATTATCAGTGAAACACAATTAGGTCTTTTGAAAGGAAGACTAATTCATAATAATATTAGCCTGGTTTTGGACCTCCTTGAGTAAAGTGAAAAAATCCAAGAGAGGGGATACATCCTGTTCTTGGATTTTTATAAAGTATTTGACTCAGTTGAACCTATGTTCATATTAAAAAAGCAGTCTTTTTGGTTTTGGAGAGGAATTTATGAATGTTATAGAGATGTTATATAATGACAACAACAACTCTGTTTTGCTAGAACATGGTACGTGTTCAATGTTTGAGGTCAATAGAGGAATAAGGCAGGGATGTAGCAGCTCACCACTTCTGTTCATCATGGTTGCTGAACTGTTGTCTATTCTGATTAAAACAGTCACATTGACGGGTTAACTGTGATGGGTGAACAGATAATAATCAGTCAGGTGGCAGATGATACCACCCTGTTTTAAAAAAATGAGGACTAGATTCCTTTAGCCTTACAGCTTCTCCAAAGCTTCTGGCCTACAGATGAATATTTATAAATGTGAGATACTGGCTCTGCATGAGTGTCCCCTGCAGTCAACAAGTAATATACAGATCAAAAAAGAGGTGAAGTATCTGGGCATCGTAATTTCCAAGGATACGTTATTAACAGAAAATAAGAATATCTGTACCAATATAGAAAAACGTAAGTCAATTTTAAACAGGTGGTTGCAGAGGGACATAACTTTGTTCGGGAGGATTCTGCTAACCAAAATGGACAGTCTACCCATCCTAATCTATTCAGCCTTTTCTCTGTCCACATCTCCAAAAAGAATTAAATCTATAAATCTTAATTTTAGGTTCATATGGAGGAACAAATGTCATTATATAAAGAAAAATGATATGATTAAAAACTATGAAAAGGGTGGGGCTAATGCCATTGACTTTGATGTTATGAATGGTGTACTAAAATTGAAATGGTTAAGATCTTTCATTGGGAACAAAAATTCCTTTTGGAACATTATACCCAATGTGATTTTTGGCGAAATGGGTGGAACAGACTTTTTGTTACATTATGACTTTGTTTGCAGTTCGTTACCTGTTAAACTCTCAGCTTTCCTTCAGCAGGTCCTTCTTTATTGGAAATTAATTTATAAACATAACTTTACTCACAATACCCTTATATGGAACAACAGGTCTGTCTGTGTAGGAAATCTGTGTACATGGATGAATGGAGCTCCAAAGGGATTTGGGCTGTAGCTCATTTTATGGTTGAGAAACATGAGACGTTCTGTGAGAAGTTTGACGTAAGATGCACTGCTAAGAGATATAAATCACTAATAAAAGCCATCCCAGCCCCTATGAGATCAATGATCAAAGAAAATATTGTGCACTCTAAAATTTTTACTGGACTGAGTTGAATTTGGTGACAGCAGGTTTACAAACAAGGTGATCAGGAATGTTTTGATAAATGAAATTTGTCCTAATCTGGTTAAAAGAAATTATATTCTTAAAGAATTTGAGACCATGGAGGTTAAGGCGATAAGAAGAAAGTATGTCTCACTTCCTCTTTCCCCTAAGTAAAAGAGGTTAACTTTAAAATCATAAATGAGATTTACCCAACCAATGAATTTTTAAGACGGAAATTTAACTTAGATGTGTGTACATTTTGTGGAAATAACATTGAAAAGCTGGATCACTTGTTTTTCTACTGTGAATCAGTGCACTGCTTCTGGATTGACATGTGGAGCTGGCTACAGTCCTGTCGGTGTGCGGGGCAAGCCATGTGGCGTTGTGAGAAAAGGACCCAAGATGCAGGTACTGGCTGAGATGCAAGTGAGCTTTATTTACAGAAGGTGAAAGCAAACAAAAGCAAGGATGGCGAGGACAGAACTAAGACATTACCTAAACTGGGGCAATTAATAAACAAACCTGAAATGATAACATGCAGGGAGAAGCATGGGATGTGAAGCAGGGAGATGCAGAAAACGCCAACTAATGGAGACAGACCGACAACCAGCAAAGGCAACCCCACACTAGGCTGTGTCCCAATTCAGGGTCTGCACGTTTGAAGTACGCGCACCAGAAGACTAAAAAGATGGCTAAGGTCCACCAGGAGAGACTGGACAGTATAGATGCAAAACCAATATGCCAGCAGTTTATCTCAGTTAACGAGAGGAGAAGGCATGTGTTTGGCTCCTTTAGTGGACATTGAGTTATTGTGTGGGACACCAGTAGTCCATGTCTGTTGCTGTAACAGTAGTTCATGTTTAGAATAAAAAATCCCAGCTCACTGATTTGATCGGGGCAATAGTGCGACTAAAATGTTGCATAATTTTGCTGAGAGATCTTTTACTTTGTGGTAATCTTAGATGAGTAGTTTTATGGACAAAAACCACCAGGTCATTCAGTGTTCCCATAGTGCCAAAGTATAACAGATGTCGGTGTACTATAACTGAACTAATGTTGTTAAGTCCTTGAAGTCTTATTCTTTTATTGTCATGACTGTATTTGAAGCTATTTTTATTTTTGTATGATACCTGATTTATATGAAATATGGCTGAAGTAAACTAAAGCTTAGTCAGTCATTTGTTTAATAGTAATTTAACATTATATAATTCACATATAAAACTATGAATTGTAATTTTAAATGGTTTAAAAGCATGTAGAATAGGACATGTAGGCAAGTATATTTCTCCTTTTTTGTTATCAAGAAGCAAAGACAAAAAGGAAAAAAAAAAAAACAGGGCAGGGTTCGGTCCCCACCAATGCCAAAACCAAATCTACGCCCTTGTCCTGACTGATGACCTGGCCTGATTCCTTTACAACTCACATAACAAGTGCTTCCACACAGATTTCCACCGAAAATCTGTATGTTTCTTTCTGTTGATGCGATTCTAGTTGATCGATATCTTTTTTTTTTTGTGTCCCGTTTGGATCTTTAGCCATCAGAATTGTTGTCTTAAGGCCAAGAAAGATGCCAAGCGGATTTATTTTACCAAGTGGATCATCATGGTCTTGCCATATTGGTCCATTTGATTGACCTTTATTATAATTTTGAATTTATTTTATTTTCAGTTGCTACAAACGGGACAGACATGACTGGGGGATAGGACAGGGAGAAAGAATGAAAGAAAGAGAGGGAGAGAAAGAAAACCAAAGGGGAGAAGAGACGGTGAGAAGGGGGGAAGAAAGAAAAAAAAAAACCAAACAACAAAAAAAAACAAAACACCTGGGTCACCTGTATGGAGAAAAAAAACAGAAGAGAAAACAAACAACAAAGAGCAACATAATTAAAAAAAAAAACGGCACCATCACAATAAACTAGCTAGCAGTAGATATCAGTAGATACTAAATAATATACTGTGATATTGTGCAGCACGCAAGATAGACAGCGCACAATGTGCTTTGAGGCAGCAGCCAAGAAAGCTGTAGTCCGCGTCTGTGAATACCCGTGTGTACACCTGTGTGCATACCTGTGTGGATCAGCATGCTTGCATTCCAAAGGTTTCTCCATGTAACGATC